ATACATTCTAACCAACTCAATAATATCTATATAATCCGTATATATTTTTACATATCCACACTACAGGACTCTCACTAGACTATGCAGGGGGTCTTAACCTGAATAGAAGGCAATATGCAAAGCGCACCTGAGTGGGCATGAGTACCTAAGCCTAACAGGGTATACCTTAACCTAGCATATCCAGCTACGCATCCTATTGCATATACGCTCCCTAACCGAGGACTCTGAGACTGAAGCCATATCACGGTGCCATAAAAATATATTTAAAGTCCATTATATCCATCCAAGGTATGTCCAGTTAGTCATTCAGCTTGTGCAGCTTCTTTGACTTAACATAAATAACGAGTAATCTAATTAGTCATTCAGCTTGTGCAGCTTCTTTGACTTAATTATAAGTAGGATTTTATTTATATAATTCGTTCCCTTATTCTGATATAGGTAGGACTTAGCGTTTTGAGCTAATCCAAACCTAGTATGCCACCGTCGCATACCGGTGCATACCATCCAACCATCCAACAGTTGATTAAACAGTTAATACATGTAACAATCAACTGATCCATAATAAGCATAAATAGGGATATAAAAATTGACATGCTTATTCCAGTAATTAATAAATCTAAGGAAAGAGATACATCAATCAATTCCATGATGAGCATAATAAAAGAAATAGATAAACTATCATGCTTATACCATACCAATCCAACAATTGATGCGAGATATAATTAAATCTACACATAAATTAATACCCAATAAGCATAGCAAAAACACAGTATTTGACAAACTTAATTTACATCATTGATACATGATTAAAGGTATAATCCTTGACAGAGAATTGCTAAAATAAGTCCCGGCAAATTAAAAATCCATAATCCGATTCAGTATACGCTAGTTTTTACGAAATTCCGAATATTCAAATTTCTAACAATGTAAAACTGAACACCACCTTCTGTGCTTTAACCTGCACTTCTAAACCATCTAAAACCCACCATCATAGTCCCTAACTGAAGTTTGAAACCCCATAAATCCATACACAGTAGCCTAACCTCACTGAAACATTGCAGGAAAATAAAAAATAAAAAATTGAAGAAAAAATGGAGTAGGCTCCAAAAATAAGTGGAGCTGCCTCCACCCTTTTGGAGCCGCCTCCACTAAAGTGTGGAGCCGGCTCCACTTCAATGGAGCCGCCTCCATTAAAGGGTGGAGCCACCTCCATTCTTCCTAGCCTCCGTCTTCTTCGACGCCAGCTGTTTTCTGACTTTCTGATCATCTGTCCTCCATTCCCAAAGCTCCTAGGTGTCTAATACTAGGTCTATTGTGTTCCAGTATCAATCAAACTTTTTGTTTAGTAATTGTCAACAATTAAAACCCAAACTGTGCAATAAGGATGCAAAACGAGCAATTTACAGTTCCTCCATGTTTACTGTTTAAGTAAATCAACCATGAAACTCAAACCTAGTTTAATGTTTCATCAACGTGTTCCAGACTAAACTAAAATCCTTTTATATCAATTTACATGAATTAGATTATAAGTTACATAAGAAAGAATATAAAACATATAGTTCACAATATAAGAATACTTTCAGTTTTTAAAAAACATCAAAGACATGCAAAGAACACGAGCCAAAGGAGAAGAGCTAGGATTAGAACTTGCCTTTAGCCTTGCACCGTCGTCTTCCTAAGTTTTCCGGCAATTCCTACTGTAATCCTCGTCTGTTCGCTCTCTGCTTCCACAGTCGTGAATAAGGTTCTAAAACCCTAGGCAGAACCTTAATATATATATATATAGGTTTAAGAAAACACTAACCCTAATTCTAATATAAGATAAAGACGACCAATTAAACCTATGTCAAAGGCGGCTAAAAACGTGACTACGAATAACAAACCCTAAATTAAAATAAATAAAACCAATTCCAGTTAAAGAAAAAAAAACAAATAGAAACCTACCTAATTATACAATTAACCAGTAATACAATTAATCAAATAATTCAATTTAATAACACAATTAATAACCAGTAATACAGTGGCCCTTGAAATCAAGAACACACTACCGAAGCATATCCTCCATGATTTGATTAACCCTCTCAGTCTGTCCACCAGTCTGAGGATGATAAGCAGTGCTAAGATGCAACTTTGTACCCAAAACCTGCTAAAAACTCTTCCAAAATCTCGACACAAAGCTTGAGTCCCTATCTAATATAATAGACAATGGAATGCCATGCAGCTTTACAATCTCTGAAATGTAAAGTCTCGCCAACTGCTCTAAAGTGAAGTCAATGCGAATAGGCAAGAAATGAGCTGATTTCGTCAATCTGTCCACGATGACCCAAATAGAATTGTGATCCTTGAAGGAATTAGGCAATCCCTCTACGATAAAATGCTCTCCCATTTCCACTCCGGTATCGGCAGTGGCTGTAGAGCTCCTGGCAGCCTTTGATGATCAATCTTGACCATCTGACAAGTACTACATCGAGAGATGAAAATAGCAATGTCCTTTTTCATACTTGCCCACCAAAACTGCCGCTTCATATCCTGATATATCTTGTCGCCTCCTGGATGAATAGAAAACTCAGAGTAGTGAGTCTTAGTCATCACATCCTTCCTCAAATCATCAGCAAAAGGTACCACCAACCGTCCCTTGTACCTCAAACCTCTATTAGCCCCAACATAGTAAAATGGGACCTCACTGGAAGCTATCTCTGCAACTTTGTCAATGCACTGCTGATCCGCGAGTTGTGCCTTCAAAACCTTATGAATAATAGAAGGTGTAACTACCATGTAAGCCATGAAAGCATCCGATAACTCATCCACTATTTTCAAAGCATTCCACTCAGTGGTGAATAAAGTAGAAAGACTACCAACAGGTCGGCGACTGAGTGCATCTGCCACCACATTCGCTTTCCCCGGATAATACTGTATAGAGAAGTGATAGTCTTTCACAAACTCTAACCATCTGCACTGTCTCATATTCAGCTCCCACTGAGTGAACAAATACTGCAGGCTCTTGTGATCGCTAAACAATATAAAGGACTCACCTAACAGATAATGCCTCCAAATACTTAAGGCAAAAACCACAGCTGCCAACTCCAAATCATGTGTTGGATAATTAAGCTCGTGAGGCTTAAGCTTATGAGATCTATATGAAATCGGTCTCTCCTTCTGCATCAAAACACATCGAAGACCCTGTAAAGAAGCATCTGTGTAGACAAGATACTCTATCCCGCTCTGTGGGGTAGACAGAACTGGTGCAAAGGTCAATTTAGTCTTTAACTCATCAAAAGATTTCTGACAATGTTCATCCCACACGAACCGTACACCTTTTTTAGTCAAATAAGTGAGTGGTCCCGCTATCTTGGAGAGCCCCTGGATGAACCTACGATAATATCCTGCCAATCTGAGAAAACTCCGGATCTCGGTAGGTGAGGTAGGCTGTCCCCACTCAATTACTGCTGAAACCTTGGCCGGATCTACCGTTATTCCCCTTTCTGACACCACGTGACCCAAAAACTTCACTTCTCGCTGCCAAAATTCACATTTCTCGAACTTAGCATATAACTGGTGTTCACGAAGCGTCTGCAACACAATCTGAAGATGTCTAGCATGAACATTCTCAGACCTTGAATAAATCAAGATATCATCAATGAAAATAATGACAAACTGATCTAAATAAGCCCTGAAGACTCTATTCATTAAGTCCATGAAAACCATAGGTGTGTTAGTCAGTCCAAAAGGTATGACTCGAAAAAGGGGTGAGGTTTTGTCAAGCCAGCAGATTCGTCTTAAGGAGGGTAGATTTCGAGGATGAAATCTCTTTAAGGATGGTAGATTGTGATGTTTTCGTTTTTCACTATTTTTCATTTTTTGGAATTTTGTGTTTTTACAACGGCATTTTCGTCTTTTCCCATTTTACGTGCCAGACATCGTGGGGTGTGCCGGGTGTGTCCGAGAATTGGTTGGGGCATTCCATTGAGTTTAGTACTCTTGGAAATGCAACGGTTGCCATTTCGGCATTTTTTTGTCTTACGGGCCGGACAGTCCCACGTGGGACCCGCTATCGGAATTGTCAAGTACAGGGGTGTTGGTTGGTTCCATTTGCATTTCATTTATTTCATTTAATGTGTTTATGTGATATTTGTATAGTTTATATGTATATGTGTGTGTGTGGTGGGAAAAAAAAGTAAGATTTTAGTGGTGGGACCCATCACTCAGCCATTTTGTATGGCCAAGAGACCACATTTGGCCTCTCGTTTCTCTCTCCCCGGCTGAATCTCTCTCTCCTTCTCTTCTCTTCATTTTTCTTTTCTTTTTGCATCAAAACTTCTATCTTTGATTACTTCTCAACCGGTGGGAATTTTTGGTTGCTGTTTACAGCAAATTGAAGAGCTTAGCGTGATCTTCACATCAATATAAGCAATTTCAACTTTGGCTTGAACATAAAAAAGTTGACCAAAATCATTCAAAGAAATAACCACAACTTTAGCTTGAACATAAAAAAGTTGATCCTACCTTTCTAGAACGTGATCCAGAATTACGTCATCAAATATGGGATTATCCTGTTGACGAACGTGATGAAGTTCAATAAGCTTATATCAAAGCGAAACCATACCAAATTGTGCTTTCAGTATATCCGCTTTCTGGATCGGAAAAGCATTGTCGTTGATTTCAATCATCTTGGTTTAAATTATTTCCTATCTGGTTAGAGTATTCTCCATCAAAGGATGCTGCATATTGCTTACCTTGCTTTCTTTTTGGAGCAAAACCAACGGGGCGTCCCAGAACTAATGCATTTATTAGTGAAGGATTTCGAAGTTGGAAGAAAGTTAATGATGGCAATAGGTGTGCTTTCTTAAATCATGTGGGAGGTAGTCCATGTTCTGCTCATACCATTACTGAGAGAGCATGTAAGGACTTAATGAATCAACCTTGTCATATTGATACAGTGATGGTTAGACAAACTTCCGAACAAGTTTCAAATAATCAATTGAGATTGAAGGTCACAATTGATGCGGTCCGATGGCTTATTTATCAAGCTTGTGCTTTTAGAGGGCATGATGAATCCCTTCAAATCAAGTAATCGAGCCAATTTCATTGAAATGGTAAAGGCTTTTGCGTCATATAATGATGATGTCGCTAGAATTGTTCTTGAAAATGCTCCAAAAAATGCCAAGTATACCTCACCACAAATTTAAAAGGAGATTTTGTATATTCTTTCTAGAAAAGTGAGAAGTAAGATTCGTGAAGATATCGGCAATGCCAAGTTTTGTATTCTTATTGATGAAGCTCGTGATGAATCTAAAAGAGAACAAACGGCTTTCGTTTTAAGATACGTTGATAAGGATGGTTTTTTACAAGAACGTTTCTTTGATCTTGTGCATGTCAAAGATACAACTTCATTGAATTTAAAAAAAGATCTTTGTGCGGTTCTTTCTCACTATAATCTTGATGTTCACAATCTCCGAGGTCAAGGTTATGATGGTGCTAGCAATATGCGTGGCGGATGGAATGGTTTGCAAGCATTATTTCTTAATGATTGTCCTTATGCATATTATGTGCATTGCTTAGCTCACCGACTACAACTAGCATTAGTTGCCATATCTAGAGAAGTAATCGTTGTCCATCAATTCTTTTCAAACTTGAACTTCATTACCAATAACATTGGAGCTTCTTGCAAATGAACTGATGAATTACATTCTGCGCAAGTTATGGAAATTGCCTATTTGATAGATCTTGATGAACTTGAAACCGGCCAAGGAGCTAATCAGATTGGTAACTTGCAATGACCTAGAGATACTCGTTGGAGCTCCCATTTTGATTTTGTTTGTAGTTTGATAAGGTTATTTGGTCCAACATGTTCAGTTCTTAACAACCTCATTGAAGATGGATGTAATTACAAGATCTGGGGAGATGCTGATACTGCTTTTAATGCTCTTAGATCATTTCAGTTTTTGTTTATTTTGCATTTGATAAAAGATATCATATGAATAACTAATATCCTTTGTTAAGCTTTGCAACAAAAAGATCACGACATCGTAAATGCTATGCAATTGGTTTCGAGTACAAAACAAATCATTCTGAAATTGAGAGAAAATGGTTGGAACAAGTTACTTGATATTGTTAAATCATTTTGTGAGTGCCACAACATTGATGTGCCTGATTTGAGTGTTCCTTGTACCAAAAAAATTAAGGGTCAGTTATGTCACCCACAAGAGAATATTACACTTGAGCACCACTATCGGATTGATATATTTTATGGCACAATTGATTCACAATTGCAAAAGTTGAATAACAAATTTAGTGAAAAGGCAATGAAACTTGTTACTCTCAGCTCAGCTTTGGATCCTAGAGATGGTTACAAGTTCTTTAACATTGAAGACATTTGCACACTTGTAGATGAATTTTATCCTCAAGATTTCACGGACCAAGAGAGGATTATGTTGACATTCCAATTGCAACATTATGAGGTTAAAATGCCTGTTCATTCATATTTGAAAAATATGTCAACAATTTCTGAACTATGTAGAGGATTAGTGGAAACAAAGAAGTCAAAAATCTACTTTTTGATTGATAGGTTGATTCGTCTTGTCTTGACTCTTCCCGTTTCCACGGCAACTACAGAAAGGGCATTTTCAACTATGAAACTTGTCAGAACACAACTGCACAACAGGATGGAGGATGAGTTTCTTGCAGATTACTTGAGTGTCAGTATTGAAAAAGAAATTGCTCATACTTTTAGTACAGATTCAATTATAGATGATTTTTCTTCTCTAAAAGAATGTCAAGCTCAGCTTTTATAGTAGTTATTTAGTCTTTCAGGTCTCTTTTTGTATTTATCTATGTCATATTTCACTAGATATAGACCAATTATTGTTTTGTAAACAAATTGGCCAAATTTTGGCTAAATATATTTTTGTATGCTTCTAATCGATCATGAAGTACTTTTGACTTAAAATATTATTATATTATATTAGTAAAATTGTTAATACTCCGGCTGTGACGACCCAAGTTTTTCAACCCGGTGCGTCAGTGATGAACCGAAAGTTTATCCGATAACGGATCTGAAATGCGGAAGCAAAAGATGAAACCAAAGTCTATAGAGATAAAAATTATCCCCAAGACACCAATGTGACCTTCCATGAAGTCACGGAACTCAAAGAAAGCAAAAGTAAAGACAAAGGTAAGAACGGGCAAAATTTATCAACCAAGGGGCAAAATGGTCAATTCACAAATAAAAAGAGAAACTTGACTCTAAACAAGTCAAACAAGGTGAAAACAACCTAATCTAGTCATTTCATAACATTCCAAGAGGTTCCAAGAACATTGGCCAAGAATTCCACAAAAATGCCATTTGTCGGTTAAAGCAAAAACCAACACTATCTCATTAAAACATGAATAACTCCCACTGTGATTGGAATTTGAGAATGGCATTGATACCATTGGAAAGCTGACTCACAATCCTTGATTTTAGGCTCAAGAATCACACTATTTGGATTAAAAATGAGGGAGTTATGACCGTTTGAAGTTAGGACATCAATGCTGAAACAAAACTGATGAAACAGCTGAAAGAGGGATATTTCAGTCGACCAAAATAGAGTTTCGAATGACCGAAACTCACAAAAATTGTGCCGAAAACATGTGTTTAAGTGAAGGAAGTTTCGGTAGACCGAATTAGGCCATCGATAAACCGAACTGGGCCCAAATGGTGAAAATGGCTACTGGATTGAGTGATTTACTGTTCATTAAAGTTCCCAAAGGCCATCGGTTGACCGAAATGGAATTTCAGACGACCAAAACTCCTCGAAAGGCTGCTGTAAGACCTGTTATAAGTGAGAAATGTTGAGGCTTCACCCAAGCTTCCAACCCCAACATGAAATTGGTCCAAAAACATGATCTTAAGCTATATAAGCATGCCAACAAGTGTACTTTACTTATTGAAATGTGTTACAATGGCCCATGGCCTCATTACATGACATTTACTCCAATTCACATGCCAAACATCAAAGGTTAATAAAAGTACATTTCAAATGCAAAACTTGAAATTTAAATATATACACTTGAACTTTAAAGTTGGTGGCCCTTGGCCTCATGTCATACATATCAAATAGGTTCCAAATAGTGTATCCAAGACACTTTACATGTCATAAGACAAAAATGGCATATTGAACCTAACTAAATATTACAACATCAACAGTAAAACTTAAACAAGCTAACACTTGCATGTGAACAAGTGTGACACCCCCAACATTTTCCACGCATAAGTTGATCAGGCTTATACACGAAAAACGAGGGATATCAAAAACAATTGGCAATATACAAGCATGGAATACAAAATGATGATAATAAAAGAATTTAGACAGGAAAGGAACACTAAATGATACAATATCCATCCATCTTTTATTTAATACAGTACTCCATTACAACTTAGAAATCCTATGTCAAGGATCCCTAAATATAAACCGGAGAGTTCAACGTCAAAAGTAAATAAAAACTGAAACTGAAGTAATACATAAAACTTCTACCCTGAACTGGATCGTAAGAGTAGATGAGTTCAGATGGTGGTCCCTCACTGCTAACCTCAACCTTGGAACGGGTACTGACCGTATCCTGAAATAACAACAATGGTGGGTTAACCCCACGAGCAAGTTCTCTCTACTATGACCCAAATCAGAGAATCAAAAAAATTAATCATTATGAATCGGACGAGTACTATATCTGCATACATCCTAAGGGAACCACCCAATGTATAATATGACCTCAACCAGAATAGACGGTGATCACTTAGACTCACACTAGGTGGATAAGTGTCGCCTTTCCCTACCCGGGAAATCAGCTATTATACATGGTGCACGATACTGACAACACAGACTATAACGAACTACACAGTGATGACACCTCTCAATGTATTGATGAATATACTGAGCATATCAATTAGGCAACACATGCCAACAATATCAATAAATATACCGAGTATGTCAATTAGGCAACACATGCCAATAATATTAAACCACATACCCCGACAGCCACACATCTGTCTATAGCAACGAATGCATAAGGTATGAATGAGTCTAAACTTATTAGCCAGCTCACATGGTTCTATATGGCAACACATCCATATAATATAAATGCGACATAATAAACAGTCCATTTATTCCCTGAAATGCACACAGCATAATAATCATGGTTGATATATGATTAACAGTATAAATATCCCATAATATAATGGATAATTTATATGACGATAACCGTGACATTATTATATTTGAACAGTAATAATGAATACCATTTAATAACATAATAATACCATCTACAGTAATGTGGTCAAATGAGTCGCATTCATTTCCGTACGGAAAACGGGCCAATTAAGGTTTAGAAATATTAATCGGCCATAATAATACTTAACGGGTACTAAAATAATAATTTCGTGGCCCGTTAAACCCGTAAATACCAACGCAGTACCTAAAAATCAAAGTTTAAGGTTCTAGAATTTACAAAACAGGCCCTAGGGGTATTCTGATAATTTTCAGCAGCTGACAGGGCCCCTCACGCGCCCCCACGCGCTGCCCTAAGCTCCCCCACGCGCAGCCCAACCTTCCCCACTCTCCCACGCGCCTCCACGCACGTCTGGCATCAGCCACGCGCGCGCACGCTCTCCCACGCGCGCATTTAAGTCTCTTGCAGACGTGGCACCTCCTGGTTGGTTGGCTGTATTGACTTACTGTGGGTGCGTTACACAGGATCATTCATCTCATCTCACCTAATCCAAGGGTCAATGATCCGGGTGTACCGCGGTAACATGGACCACGATGCACCGGATCAATCAGGTTCATCTAAGGCCCAGGATGCGCGCGCACGCTACCCTAAAGTACGCCGCATCACACCGGATCACTCCGGTCATCTTCCCCACATCCGGTGGCCGGAAAACTCGCCGGAGTTACGCCGGAAATTGCAGAAAAGCCCCAGAAATTGCCCAAAAATTCTAGAAAAATTTCTAAAGCCTTAAATAACAATTCTTAAGTTTCAATTAATTACCTAGGCCAATAATAAATTATTTAACCCTTAAATAATTAATATCACATTATTTTAATAAATTAAATAATTAATTTATCATTGTCCTAGCATGGTTTCTAACCAAAAAAAATAGCCGAATAAAGGTAATGAATAATTTATGGACTCAAAGGGGAAAAGTAGATAATAACTTGCCTTTTTGGATTTAAAATAAATCCGCCAGTTGCGCGTAGTCGGGTAAATTTCTCCTACACCGGTCCAAGCTCCTTTCTTTCTCTCTCACCTTTCTTCTCTTTCTTTCCTCTAACAATAACTCTCTACTATTTTAAATTGGTTTCTAACTTACCTTCTCATCAAACTAACTAATATTTATACAAATTAAAATAATATAAATATTACAAATATCTACTTTTACATTCAACTCACCACATTCCCAACCATATGGCTTCAAGTCTTACCTATAAATATTAATGAAATCCTATCCTAATCTCTAATTTCATCATGACTTATGATTTAATACTATTATTATTATTATTATTAAACTATTATAATTATTATTATAATATTATTATTAATAAACTATTATAATTATTATTATTATTATTACATAAGAATACATTATATCATCATAATACTTTATAACACAAATATCATACTTTAATTAACTAATATTGCTTAATTAAACATAATCAACAAATAAAATTATTAATAATAATACATGCACCATTAAATGAATAAATTTACTATTTTAACATACACAATTAATTTACATGCACCATTTAATGAACTTAATATAACAATGTAGCATGCACAATAATAGGTAAAGAAATCCACACATAAATGAATTTAAATAAACTAAACTCTTTAATAAAATACGGGGTATTACATTCTCCCCCCCTAATAACGGAATTTCGTCCCCGAAATTCACTACATACCTGTATTAAAGAGCTCTGGATACTTGGCACGGATAATATCTTCCCGTTCCCAAGTAGACTCTGTAGCACTATGATGACTCCACTGTACACGTACTAATGGAATAGTCTTCGTGCGCAGTATCTGATTCCTACGATCGAGAATACAGTAAGGTTGTTCCAAATAGGTTGCATCGGGTTGCAACTCAATCTCACCCACATCAATGTGTTGATATCGATCTTCTTCCCGTAGAAATTTTCGCAGCATGGATACATGAAAAACATTATGTACCCTATGAAGATTATCTGGTAGAGCCAGACGATAAGCTACTGCCCCAATCCGATCTGTAATCATAAAAGGACCCACAAACCGAGGCGATAACTTACCCTTTGACCCAAACCGCATTACTCCCTTCATAGGAGAAACCTTAAGCAAAACCTGATCACCAACCTTAAACTCCTAAACATGAGTTCGACGGTCAGCATAACTTTTCTGTCTACTTTGAGCTGTACGCATCCGATCCCTAATGATAGCGATCTTTTCTAACGTGTCCTTAATAAATTCAGGACCCAAAAAGCTGTTCTCACCAACTCCAAGCCAACAGACAGGAGACCTACACGGTCTACCGTACAAAGCCTCAAATGGTGCCATACCAATAGTTTTCTGATAACTATTGTTATAAGCAAACTCTGAAAGCGGCAAATATTCCTCCCAATTGCCCTTAAAATCAAGAACACATGCCCGCAACATGTCTTCTAAAATCTTATTAACTCGCTCAGTCTGTCCATCTGTTTGAGGATGATAAGTAGTGCTAAGATAAAGTTCTGTACCCAAAGCCTGCTAAAAGCTCCTCTAAAATCCTGATACAAACTTCGGATCT